CGCTCACAGTTAACGTTACGAGGATCCCAACTGCCTCAACTCTCAAAGCTAGGTTCCCCTCACGCTGTTAACGCGGATTTTGGAGGTTTTCGAAATACTTGTTTGTTGGTTTCCCGGGCATTCCCGGTCCGGTGTGTGCTGGAGTGTGTAAAGAAGCACGCAATTAAAAATAAATTCAAGCACACAATGCACACAAAACAAGAAAGGAAATAAGTGAGCACTTGGCACTGATCGTGCCTAGTGATGCGTGCTTCGAGGCGAAACTTGTTCTAAACACAATATAGATGGAGGGGTAAGCAACCCTTAAGAAGGTAAATCAGAACAATGAGACTAGGCACAGTCCGTGCTAAGTCGACTGCGGCCCCAGTCGAGGGTGACTCGAACCAGACACGGTTCAGGGAGGGCGCAAGCAACCCTCGATGTATTTTTTTTATTTATTTTTTATTTTTCTTATCTTTTTAACTTTGATAAACCACAATTAAACTAAGCATGGTAAAAGCAGGGAAAACATGGTTTCAATCAAAATTAACAAACTAAAATAAAATAAAAAAAAGTCAGAAACAACACAGACCTATCTGAAGTAAAATATTGTTTTTATATTTTATAAAAATTTATTTTGAGCGAAACATTGATCAACAGGGAGCCAAAAGCCTTTGGAATAGGCATGTGGGGTCCCAGAATTGTTTTGGGGCACCTACAGTTGGGTGACACGGGTGGTGTCACCCAGGCGGCACTACTAGTATCACCCTTGCAAGGTGGGCGACACTCCTAGTGTCGCCCAAAAAAATATTTGTTTTTATTTTTTTATTGTTAACCTTGATGAAATAAGACTACTTTAAACTTGGAAGAAGCAGGAAAAAAATATATTTATGATGAAATAAATTAAAACGGAGTAAACAGAAAAAAGTAAATACAACAGATCTGTATCAAGCAAAATATTTTTTTGATATTTTAAAATTTTTATTTTGATTTGAAATTTTGTTGACAGTCAAAAAATACGCCCTAGAATAGATCTATAAAGTTTCAAAAGAATCTGAAACTTTTAATTTTGGGCGACATGGGGAGTGTCGCCCTAGATCTGGGCGGCACTGGTGGTGTCGCCCATGCAACACGGCTGGTGTCGCCCAAAAAAATCAGGGTTTTGAAGCATGGAAACCATGGATCTTGGTTACAGCAAATTCTTTTTTGTGACAGAAAATAGTGAAAAATAGTAAATAAAAATCGTATTTTGGTGCTTAGATCAGGCTCGAAATGGCCCCATGGTGGGCGCCAAACTGTTTACGATGCAAAATCTGACAGATCCTCTGATGAAGACCTCTCGGATCTTGACACCTTAAACTCGATGAAAATGAAGTAAATAAAGTGGTAAAGAACATGGGATAAATTGAATTCAGGTTTGAGGTCAGATCTGCTCATAAAAGAGCATATCTACTCTCAGATCTGTGGCAAGGCCAGCATGATCCAAGACATTACAAAAACGATTTTTAAGCAAATAAGCAGATCAAAATAAAATGAAAATAATAAAACAGAATGAATAAAATGGAAGAAAATGATACCGAACCGGGCCGGATGGCTCGGGACTCCCGAGCCTTCTAGAGCTCGCCTGTATCAGAACCGATCATCTTTTGTCTCTCTGATTCGGGTCTTGACCAGCAAGTCTCTCCAGCAAAAGGGTTTTTGTGCCCTAGAACAGGTTTTGATCCAAGGTTGTTGTGCCCTAGGTCTAGGTTTTCTTAGGCTTCAGGGTTAGGGTCTCAAGGGGCTAGGGTTTCTGAAACTAACTCTTTCCTAGGGTTTTCAACCTTTTTAGAAGAAGTCCGTCCTCAGATCTGTCCCCCAAATGGCCACAAAAAAGAGGCTTTATAACGGTCAAAATCTGTTGGGAAGGATATACTCACGTTACCAACACATACCTATAAAAAAAAAAGTGTGTTTGGAGGTACGGATCTAAGTGGGCAAACTTGTTCTGGGTCACAAGATAGGTTGCGTGAACTATATATTTGGGTTTACTAGATTAAGTGTGGTTCTAAAGGTTCAAGAAACCATAGAATTTGTTAGATTTAGAATGGGGTGTGTACACAAATAAAAGAGACAAAAACCTTGTTCAATGTTTAGTTCCACAACTTGTGCACTTTTCTTTCCTTCTCGTGACGAACCGCCCCTACCGCTTTTCCTGCCTTGTCGTAATTTTCTTTCCCTACATTTGCATCTACAAACAGCCATCAAAACATAACAAAACAAGAATGCCCACAACTAGAATTTCAATTGGTAAAGAACGTAAAAATTCACCAAAAATGGAAATGAAAATTCATTAGAAAACCAAGAGCCAAGGACACGAACCTTTTGCTGCGATCACCTTCCCTTTTGATGATGCTAGAGATAAAAAGAAAAAAAGAAAAATTCAAATAAAATATTATAAGTACTTTAGATAGTGCTTCCTATACAGAATCAAAATATTGTGACATTACAGAGCAATGTAATATCAACCAGTTTAATACACAACGAATTAGATATAATTTTTGTTAGAATGAAATCGAAGATAAGTTTCTACCAGCTTGTGATCATGAAAAAATAACAATTAAAAAAATTTATAGCATGAACAGAAAGAAACTAAGAGTTCAACGTCAATAATAGATACATCAATAATTCCTACTGAATATGCGCAATAAAGATAAAAAAATCCGCTGTTTTGATAGAATTTAGTCTAAACTATCTGAAATTTGAACAGAAATCCCAGAAAATTTCACCCAAAAACCTCCTGAAGCTTTGGTTTTTCCCAGACCGAATACAAACACTGAACCTGAAATTTCAAAGCGTAATCAAGTTGCAGTTTGTCAGAGCCAGGGCTAGGGTGGACATTGGACTGTAATGAGAGTCTTTTGAAAGAACAAACATGATGGGCATCCATTAATACCGTATTTTCCCCGAAAAGGAAGCATGCATTTTCATTCTTGCATGCAGAAAAACCACCACTAACCTCCAGCTGATTCAGAAAAAAAGACCAAGCTTTTCTTTTTTTTCATAAGGTAAAACAAATATTAACGTGCAACTGATACAAATTCCAAAGAAGTTCTATCACAACAAACAGAGCCCACATTTCCAAAAAAATAAAAGCATTTTCCAGATTCAAATATCCAACAAAATCCGATCCTCCCATCCCCTTCCCTTCCCCCCCCCCTCCAAAAAAAAAAAAAGAGTCTTCTTTTTAATCCTAGCCATTGATGCAACAATTTCCCGAAAATAGAACACGTATTTCAATTGTGGATGGGAGAAAATGAGACCAACCTGCAACTGTTTTGAACTTCGAAGAAGCTTTTCCCCCATTTGAAGTCGGAGTAGAAGACTTTCCCGTTTTATTATCCGCCGTTGAAGCACAAGAGAAGGTCTCGAGTTAAACTGCTAATTAAGAAATGGTGTGGTTTGTATAAGGCGCACCTCTAAGGAAAAAGTATACATAAGGTTTGCAACCTTACCTCTATAGTTATGGATGCACCTCAAAAATTCATCGGCAAAAATAGTTTTAAGGGAAAATAGCTCCATCGACCCATTTCAACTTTATTTTTTTTTTTTTTTTTTTGTTGCAAAACCTTGTCTTACTACTTATAACTTCACTTTATTATATCTTTTAATCTTCTAAAGCTATTTTATTTATTTTTTACTAATTTTTTTTCATTCAAACAAATTCAAAAAATATATATATTTTTTAAACCCCTCTCTCTTGACATGATTCCCTTTCTCTCTCCCCTTATCAACCTCCTAAACCCCTCTCCCTCTCAACCCCCAAAGTTTACCACGTTTGCTGGTAAACCTCCGGCCACTTCTAGCCATCACGGGCTCATTTCCTGGCGACCACAGGAACCCACCCCTCTTTCTTTGATTTAGAATGGGAAGAAGGCTTTGGCCGAAATGCTCATTTTTCTAACAGTTCCCAGAGAAATTCCGGCCATCTAGGCTTTGAAGGGGAAAAATCCGAGGAAGTGGGGGGGGAATTTCGACAAATTTGGGGCGAACTTTGGTGATATTTATGACGTGACGAAGAGGCTGGTCTTTTTGTGTTTCTCTCATTAATGTAAAGCCAAAATATGGCTTTGTGAGCTATGAAGAGCTTGAGGTTGGAGCGTGCTGAACCTCCTCCACTCATGTTGCTAAGGCTGCCTTGTTTGTGCACCATAACCACCATACCCAACCTAGAACTGGGAGGCCCATTGGCTGGAGGGACCCCATAGCCTTGAGCACCACCTTGAGAAGACATATCAGACCTCCAAAACCCCACATTCCCATTCAAATCACCATATCCACTTCGCATATGGCCTCCACCACCTTGCTCACCACTAGCTACACCACCGGCACTTCCTCTCGAAACACCAGTCCCACTCGATACAAAACCCCCATGACCACCAACAGCACCATAGCCTACTGCACCACCATGTGCCCCATCAGCCCCACCAAAACCCCCATACCCACCATAACCCAGCTTCCACCATTGTTGAGCTGGACAGAAATGGGTTGCAGAAAGAGAGAGGATGAATAGTCTAGGGAGAGAAACACATGAGGAGAGAGAGATTAGGAAAAAAGATTGGCCTTTTTAATTTGTTTGGGTTAAAAGTTGGAATAAAAATAGATAAAATTATTTGGGGGTTAGAAGATAGGTTTTGAAATTTTATAGGTTTAAGAAGAAATGAAAATTGAAAATTGGGTTTATGGAGATACTTTCTCTTTGATTAATCATCTCAATATTGAGATGCATGACCATGAAAAATAAAAACATATTCAGTCTCAGATATAGTATATTTTGCAGCGTATTATCTATACCATCCATTTTCAAGATTTTCATATGTTTATAGATCTACTTGATTTAAATAATTTTTTAAATTTAAAATTTATAATTATATATAAAAATAGATTTTGAGATAATACTAAGAACATTTTATATTAAAATTATATACCATGACAAAATTTGAAGGTTCACCTTACCTCTACACCTACAGATGCATCCGTATGCCAACTACACCCCACCTTGAAATAGTAAAAAAACATGTTTCAGCACTAAAGTCTTTACGATGGATTGAAAATTTATTTTTAGGAATGGTTTGTATAGAGCCTACGCTTCTAAACAATCAAATTAGGGCCTACCTTCAAATAGTATCGAGAAATATGGTTTCAATATTGAAAAATTTTGCGATAGCCTTAAATTATATTTTTGTATTTAGTTATAGAAATTAAAGCTTCAAAGAATGTAGATTGAACAAATTTATGAAAACTTAAAAATCTTGAAAATTGACCGTCCAAAAATACGTTACAAGATGCACTATTTTCAAAATTTAAAATCCATTTTTTTTTTCATGTTCAGGCATCTTGATGTCTAGATGATCAATTTGATGATATTTGGCAACAAAACAACCTTTTCTAGTGAAAGTTTTGAGGTAGGCTCTAATATGATTGTTTAGAGCCTAGGTTCTATATAAACTTTTCCCTTTATTTTTATATCTAATTATGAAATTTTTAGCTTCAAAATAATATATATCAAGCAGATTTACAAATACTTGAAAATTGACAGTCTAGATAATACATTATAAAATATACTATTTTCAAAATTTTGAAGCTTTTTTATAGAGAAAATATTTGATGACACCATTTGCATTTGGTATAAATGGTCACAATTAATCTTGACCATGGCATGTGAAATTGGGTGCCTGCATTTATTTCATTGACTAAGTTCAAAGTCAAAAGAAATTTTTTGAACTTTGTGACACACCCAAACTATCAGATTTCGCATCGAATGGATATACTTCCATGTACCAATGATAAAGGGTCGTGCAACCTATTTCTTTTATGTCCATGTATCTCAAGGTCAAGATGATTGAATTTGAGGGTTTTTAGCATCGAAACAAATTCTTCTATTGATTTTTTGATATGTGCTTTAATTTGTTAGTTTAGGCGCTTCAGCCGTACATAAACCTTTTTGCATTAAAAAAAGGTTTCAAACCGCTAATTAAGAACTAGCTTGAGCACCCATTTTTTTTGCAGTCTACCATTTTACTTTGATTGTACGTTGATAAATTTCCAAATCAATTTTAATGTGTTTGAGCTATATGATATTTGATCAAAAGATAAATGTGCTATTTAAAATTAGATAAAAAATATAGATAAAGTGTTAAATAATTCAATTCTTAGGCGTAGTTCGATAAATTTCCCAAAGAGTTAATATGTATGATTCAATTCCAAATCTTACCTCCAGTGAAAGAAATGGATCGTCTCGTCTTCTAAATTCCTGAGAATTTTAGATGCCACAAAATTTGCTTGGAGGAATGAAACAGTAAAATTGTTTTGGTTTTTAGGGAAATTGGAAAAATCAATACTTTAGCTGAACTCTCCGTTTCTTTTTTTTTTAAATAGGATGTTTGATTGCCTGAATTTGATCCGAGTTGCTGACTGAATTCAAGGTACTCAGCCTTAATATGTGGGAAAATAAAGAAATTATGAAAAGAAGAAGAAGGAAGATATCACTTGGTGCTCAACAATCACCTAAGTACCTGAGTGCAGAACCCAGTTCTGGATAATCTATGGAATTTCTCATAGTTTACAACCACCCAGAACAGATGACCACCCAATATTAAATCCGACTCGGGTGATTCTAAGTCAACTCCCGGATGCTTCAAACAACTTCTCAAAGCACCTTAGGAATGGGGTTGGTACACCAGTGGTTAGGGGGCCTGATGCCTTAACATAATAACATGTCCCAACTGAAAAAAAAGAGACAAGCCTTCTCAAAGCACTTCGCATTTTTATAACCTTTTCCACTAACTATATAGTTCACCAACTTGGATTTAATCATTCAATTTCCTCACCAAAGCTACTCCTTCAGCCCCTCTCTCTCTCTCTCTCGTACGGGAAATGCATAAACTACTGGTTTCCCGTCTTCGATTTACATAACTATGTACATAAATATTATGACCGGGGTTTCAGAATCAGTTCAAGCTCAAAGGGGTTCGATTCTAGTCCCCCAGATCGGACTCAAGGAGTTTGAGTCAGACCAGGCTATTCCAACCAAAAAAATAAAGAAATACTGAAAAACTGAGAGAATTGGTGATTCCAGGGTTTTTTGGCCCAGAATCAACAGCCTCCCCCAGGCACCTGGACTCCAGCGCAAGTCACGAATCGGACAGGCAGTTTTTGAAGCACTGCTTGGCACATGTTATGCACACAAACAACCACCCATTTGCATAGCAATTAAAATATTCGTGAACATTCAATGATCATTTTACAGCAAGTAAATAAAGCTATTTATGAGAAATTACAGATTGAGAAAAATAAAGCACCTCTCTCTCTCTCTATCTCTCAGAATCACAGTATCTTCAAGAGCTGGACCTCAAACACCAGTGGCTCATTGAATCACAGTATCTTCAAGAGCTGGACCTCGAACACCAGCAGCTCATTTGCATGTGACAAAAGGCTTCTTCGAGGTCCAAACTGCAAGCAACAAATAAAGCAATGATGCTAATGAAAATGAGAAGAAACAAATCAATGGAGATGATATTCACACAAGACATCTTGATTTTTTTTCCTTTTTGTAAAAGACGAGCTTATTATGATTCAATATCTGATCTAGAAAAGAATGACAGAAAAACAATACCTCTTCAGGAATGGGTTGTAAGTTTTCATTTGTATATCCAACACCAGGTGGCACCAAGGCCCTCCTATTTCCTGCATTTAGAGAACAAAATTGAATGCCCATATTACCATTAAGCTAACATCGAAGTCTTCCAAGTCCATTTTCAATAACATAACTTTGTATAAAAGTTTCCATCAGATCAATCTCTCTCTTTCTCTCTCTCAACATATCCAATTTGAAAACATATCACCAGTAACTACAACAGAAATCTAACAAATCCATTTTCCGTAACATGTTATTCTGTACAATAGTTACCATCAAATCAACCCCCAGGCCCCCCACGCCCACCTTGCTCTCTCTCTCTCTCTCTCTCTCAACACATCACATCCCACTGTTGCATTCAAGCACTCTTGGCTCACACAAGCACTTTTTGCCTGCTCAATTGGTGTTACACTCAAGCACTCTTTTAGCCTGCTCAATTGGTGTTACACTCGAGCACTCTTTTAGCCTGCTCAATTAGTGGAATCAATGTTTTTAGAAATGCTTGGGGCCAGGAACTCGCCACTGGCCTGAGGCAAGTTATGTGGGCGAGTCCGTGTGGAGTTGCCCAAGTAATTTACATCAGGTAAAAATGTTAAACAATACAAAAAAGGTAAAAAATATTTAAAAATCAGTAAAAATTAGAAATAGCAATAGAAATCATTAAAAGACTATAAAAAAAGATATATAAAAAATGAACTATTTAAAAATTTGATTCATACCATGAATATTTCAGAAAAAGAAGTAAAGGAAACACAAAACACGTGAGAAGAAAAGTACCCAAATCATCTAAAAAGCCTTCAACATCATTAAAAAAAGCTTTTTTCTACATATTTTTTAACTTTAAACATTTTTATATTTTTCACATCTTTTTTTGGTGTTTTGCGAGTTGCCCATGGAACTCCTTCTACAGCTCTGCCTAGGCCATAGGCTGAGGCAGAGTTACTTGGCCGAGTTCGAGTGAACCTGGCCGAACCACAGTGGATGGAACCAAAAGCCAATACAGAGCCCAATAGAATGGAAGGCTTTTTTCTTTCTCTGAGAATAATATGAGAATGAGAGGCTTCACTTACAGCTAGCTGTGTTGAAGAACATTGAAGAATGGTACTCACGGTTTCATAATAGGGGAGAGAAGCATGAGATGACTGTCTAATAAAGAAACTAACCATTGTTTAGATAATAGATGGATTTTCCACTATATGGCTCCAGCTAAGACCACAAAATTCTTGCTTTAGGCTAGGGACAACTTCAGTTGAGATTATTACTATAGTTTCTACCCAGTTCTAATGAATTTTAATATTTTTTTTGGATTTTTTGAAGGCTTATCTGATCGATTCGGCCGATTCTCAATCCGGATCGCCGATTTACCGATCCGGATGGGTTTTTGGGGTGCCCGATACTGGGGCACCAATCCGGTTTTTAAACCACTGGTTGGCAATCATTGGATCCACCGTATCAGGCATCGTAACCACTGAAACTCTTCTCTATTTATATGGGAAATTTACACTAATATCCTCTATAATATGAGGAATTAAAAGTGTCCCCATTTTTTTTGTATTTTACACCCATGTCCCTTTGTAACGACCCTAGGTGGGTTAAGGACCTAACTTTCAACCCAAGTTCAAATCTTAGGAAAGGCCTACCTGTGGAAAGGGCTACCTATGGAATGGGCTACCTATGGAAAGGGCTACCCGAATAAAATCAGAGTGAGAGCCACCATAGAGTGACAGCCACCATCGAGTGAGAGCCGCTGAGGACGTTGATCCTAGGAAATGGCGACTTATGGAAAGGGCTACGTATGGAAAGGACAGCCGCGCCGCCATAGAGTGACAGCCGTCGAGGATGTCGACTGCAGAGCATGGTGGTATGTAACGATCCTAGGTGGGTTAAGGGCCTAACTTTTCACTTTTGCATCACCCAAGGGTTTTGGGGTGTATTGGTTAGGCTCCTAACACCCTTTTTTGTTTTTTTTATTTTATTTTCCCAAAATACCCATAGTTCAAAAATTGAGGTCTTCCCTTTTTTATGTCGGAGAGCTGGTTCGAAACTTGAAGTTCTATACTAATGTTCCGTTCAAAAAAAAAAAAGAAGTTCTATACTAATGTTTTATATAACTAGGATGGTTCAGAACCTGAAGTTCTGAAGTTCCCAACCAGTGCTTCATGCTAGAAAAATAAAAAGGAAAAATAAAAAGTGGAGTAGTTCGGCACCCTTGGTATATTCCTGCATAACAAAATGTATAGAGTGTTCCTGTGGGGGCACATTATACACTCAATCCCTCAAATAAAATATATTTTTTATCAAAAATTTAAAATTTTCTTCTCAAAAAAGATTCAGGAGAATTTGGTCACGTAGATCTTCTATTCCGCCGGAATTCATTAATTCCATACGAATTTACAATGGAAAAAGTCAGGTTCGTTGTAAGATCACTAAAGGAAAGGTTGGTCATAAGAGCAATGATTTCATGCAACGATTGTATCATAGTATGATGCAACCACATTTCTAGAAAACCATGTTTTTGATAATTGTATGACTCCAAATTTTGCACACGCATTCTCTTCATCCTCATAATAAAAAAAAAAAATCATTTTGCAACCTAGATATGGTCAAAATTAGTACCCTCCAACAATGAATCTCGACTGTCCATTTGGTGAATTTCAAGATCTAGGCCTTGACAAATTCAAAATCACTTTTTTATTTTTTAGCATTGTTAATCTAATGATGATAATACTATATAAAAATTTGGGGATAAAAAAATCCTTATGAGGCCTATATATAACCTTCTCACTAAAATGGGCGGTTTATATTAATTGGGCTAGGAAAACACTTTTCAGGGCGTTCTTTTCTAAATTTTCTTTTTCTGTGATTGTTCTTTAGAATAAAAAGAGTATACATCTAAAAAATTGCATCAAACAAATGTCTCTAACATAGTTTTTTAATGTGGTTGCATTATATTATGATACAACCATTGCATGAAATCATTGCTCTGGTCATAAATATAGACAGTTTGCTTCTACACAGAAACGACGACCAGACCTTCGAGAACAATTATTGGACCGGAAAGATGATTGGGTGATTCTAGAGTGAGCCCCAAAATTTTTAAATTAAAACAGTATAGTTTACCCAATCAAATACGTATACAGTGTGCTACTACAAAAGCGCCCGTAAAAAAACAAAGTTTTTAGGTGAAAAATGGTGGCTGCATTTAACAAGATGACATCATCCAACCTTATAATTTTTTTTTTGTTGCAGGTGCTCCTAAAACAACACACTACACTTGCTCCCTCAGATAAAATATACTCTTTTAACTAAAACTTTAGAATCACTGAATGATTCTTTTCAAATAACAAATTTTAAATTTTTTCATTTAAAAAAGTATTTTATTCAAAGGGCTAAGCATAAAATATACTCCTTGGCCCATAGCAGGAAGAACTTTGTGGAAGGCAGCTATTGCTGCTACCGTATGGGTTTTATGGCTTGAAAGAAATGAGAGGATATTTCAAGGCCATAGAACTGAAGTCTCAGGGTTGTTTCACAAGGTTACATCACGAGTAGCTTTTTGGGCCTCCACCCATAGTGCCTTTAAAGGGATTCTTATGAGTTCTTTCCTCAGGCAATGGGACAATATTATTCGACTCCAACCTCTTAAGCTACAGAGAGCTCACAACTGACTGCCTCCTCCAGAAAATGCCATAAAGTTAAATTTCGAAGGCTGTTCATTGGGGAATCCCGGCCATTCAGGAGTAGGGGGGGTCTCTCATGACATATTCTGAATATGTCGGCCATGGAGACTCACAACTTGCTTAAGCATTGGCTCTTCTAGGGCCTGAAATATTTTGACCCTACTTGGGGTCAATCCTTAGTGGTGGAAGGAGACGCTAAAAACATTCTATCTTGGGCAGCAGGCACAACCGATCCTCCTTGGTACCTTTGTAGGATTTTTTATGAGATTTACCACCTATGTAGGGATACCAATGTCTGTTGGAGGCATACATGGCGAACATCGAACGAATTCGCCAACCTCCTAGCTAAAGATGGAGCGTGGCAACGACCACAAATAGAAGACAATGAATGATCCATCTCCTTTTTTGCACTGAACCATAGAGTTCTCTAGGACTCTATTTTTCCTTTGTGACTTCTTGTAAAAGGCAGGCCTATAAGCCCAATTATTGTATACAGTCTCTCCAAAAGTACATAGTTTATATAGGGAGTTTATATAGGGGTTATGGCTTAATTTTTTACTGAGATACCCGTCTTGAGGGTAATCTCGGATCTCTCTTTCCTCAATCTCTTGTATTCCTTCTTGTTATAGCAATACAATGTTAACATTATCAAAAACAAAATGTAGTACACGCGATGACAACAGGTGGACACCCAACCTTTCCCTTTTCTTTGGGCAAAGCCAAGGCCTATTTCACCTTATGGGCTTTGCAGAGCCCATTGACAAGAATGTTAAATGTGAAGACATTCGGGTTCAAGTGATTGTCACACATCTCCTCTAGCAAAGGCATTGTGTCTTTCTATTCACCCATCCTTGCAAAGACCAGCCATCAGAGTAATATACGTGACGACACCCGATTGACATCCTCTCTTTCCCATTTCTTTAAGCAAAGCCAAGGTTTCATCCACCGTATTTCCTTTGCATAGCACATTTATAAGAGTGTTATAGATGACAATATTTGGCTTCAAGCCATTTTGACACATTTCCACCAACAAAGACAATGCCTCCTCCATTCTCCCGCCCTTGTAAAGACCATCAATAACTGTGTTATATGTGACAACATCTGGTTGACATCCTCTCTTCCCCATTTCCTTGTGCAAAGCCAAAGCTTCTTCCACCTTATTTGTTTTACATAGAACATTTATTATAAGAGTGTTATATGTGACAACATCTGGGTTTAGGCCATTGTGGTACATCTCCTCTAACAATACCATTGCCTCTTCTGTTCTTCCATCCTTGCCAAGACCATCTGTTAGGGAAGTATAAGTGACGACATCTGGTTGACACCCTATCTTCCCCATTTCTTTATGCAAATCCAAGGCTTCTTCCACCTTATCAGCTTTGCAGAGCCCGTTGATCAAAATGTTAAATGTGGAAACATCCAAGTTCAGACCATTCTGATACATCTCCTTTAACAAAGAAATTGCCTCCTTTGTTCTTCCGCACTTGCAAAGACCATTGATGAGTGTGTTATATGTGACAACATCTGGTTGACATCCTCGCTTCCCCATTTCTTTGTGCAATGCCAAGGCTTATTCCACCTTATTTGTTTTGCACAATGCAGTCATAAGAGTGTTATATGTGACAACATCTGGGTTCAAGCTACTGCAATATATCTCATCTGACAAAGATATGGCCCCCTTTGTTCTCACACCCTTGAAAAAACCATCGATGGCTGCATTATACGGTAAATCGTTTGGTTGACATGAACTTTGCCCCATTTCTCTATAAAAAGTCAATGCTTCTTCCACCTTATTTCTTTGACATAGCATATTTATAAGAGTGTTATACATAACCACATCTGGATTCAAACCATTGTTATACATGTCCTCCAACAAAGACATTGCCTCCTCTGTTCTTCCACTTTTGCAAAGAAAGGAGTGTGTTACATGTGACAACATTTGCTTGACATCCTATCCTCGCCATTTCTTTGTGCAAAGCCAAGGCTTCTTCCACCTTATTTCTTTTGAAAAGTGCATTCATAAGAGTGCTATAAGTGACAACATCTGGGTTCAAGCCATTGTGATACATGTCCTCTAACAAAGACATTGCCTCCTCTGGTCTCTCACCCTTGCAAAGGCCATCAAGGAGCATGTTGTATGTGACAACATCGCGTTTACGTCCTCTACTACCCATTTCTTTGTGCAACGCCAAGGCTTCTTCCACTTTATTCCTTTTGCATAGTGCATTCATAAGAGTGCTATATGTGACAACATCTGGTTTCAAGCTATTGTGATACATCTCCTCCAAGAAAGACTTTGCCTCCTTGATTCTCCCACCCTTGCAGAGGCCATCAAAGAGTGTGCTATATGTGACAACATCTGGGTTTAGGCCATTGTGGTACATCTCCTCTATCAATGCCATTGCCTCTTATGTTCTTCCATCGTTGCCAAGACCATCTGTTAGGGTAGTATACGTGACGACATCTGGTTGACATCCTATCTTCGCCATTTCTTTGTGCAAATCCAAGGCTTCTTCCACCTTATCGGCTTTGCAGAGCCTGTTGATCAAAATGTTAAATGTGGAGACATCCAGGTTCAGACCATTCTGATACATCTCCTTTAACAAAGAAATTGCCTCCTCTGCTCTTCCGAACTTGCAAAGACCATTGATGAGTGTGTTATATGTGACAACATCTGGTTGACATCCTCTCTTCCCAATTTCTTTGGGCAATGCCAAGGCTTCTTCCACCTTATTTCTTTTGCACATCATAAGAGTGTTATATCTGACAACATCTGGGTTCAAGCTACCGCAATATATCTCATCTTGACAAAGATATGGCCTCCTTTGTTCTCCCACCCTTGAAAAAACCATCGATGGCTGCAGTATACGGGAAACCGTTTGGTTAACATGAACTTTGTCCCATTTCTCTGTAAAAAGGCAATGCTTCTTCCACCTTATTTCTTTGGCATAGCATATTTATAAGAGTGTTATACATAACCACATCTGGGTTCAAGCCATTGTGATACATCTCATCCAACAAAGACAATGCCTCCTCTCTTCTTCCACCTTTGTAAAGACCATCAAGGAGTGTGTCATATGTGACAGCATTTGATTGACATATCTTCTCCATTTCTTTGTGCAAAGCCAATGCTTCTTCCACCTTATTTCTCTGCTAACAAAGACATTGCATCCTCTATTCTTCCGTCCTTGCAAAGGCCATGGATGAGTGTGCTATACGAGACAGCATCTGGTCGACATCCCATCTTCTCCATTTCTTTGTGTAAAGCCAAGGCTACTTCCATCTTATTTCTTTTACATAGCTCATTCATAAGAGTGTTATATGTGACAATATCTGGTTGACAGTCTATCTTCCCCATTTCTCTGTAAAAAGCCAATGCTTCTTCCACTGTATTTCTTTGGCATAGCATATTTATAAGAGTGTTATACATAACCACATCTGGGCTCAAGACATTGTGATACATCTCCTCTAACAAAGACATTGCCTCCTGTGTCCTCTCACCCTTGCAAAGGCCATCAAGGAGTGTGTTATATGTGACAACATTTGGTTGACATCCTATCCTCCCCATTTCTTTGTTAGAAAAACCTCTAATTGACCATCTCGATATCAAAATGTATGAATATGAAAGCAAAAAATATTTTTGAGTATTAAAAACAGTGATTCTTGCAACACATTATCCGGACCGTCCATTTTCAAGATTTTCATGTCTTTTGTTCTATTTGATTTAAAGCATTTTTTGAGTTTACAGTTTTATAGTTAAAGATGATAATAGATACTCAAGCCATCCTTAAAAATTTTGACACTAAAATTTTATTTATGATAAAATTTGGAGGTGTGCCTTACTTTGATTTGTTTAAAAATGCAACACAAACCACACCCATACATTCTGGACAAGAAATACACTTTGAGGAGAGAGCATGTCATAGAAACAAACCTTTAGCACAGCAGTAGATGCGACCACTGCCTTCTGGCTTGCTGAAACAGCAACTGTAGCGTGAATGGATTCCGAACTTGATGCAACTTGTACTGATTTTCTCTGCCTTTCACACCTAGAAGACATTGAATGTCCAGCAACATCTCAGCTTGTAAAGGAACTGGATGCAACTTCTGCAACAACACCCGTAGGATCCACATTCTCAACATAACCAACTTGACTAACTTGGTTCAGTATAGTAATCAGAAGACTCAGGATGCTGACTACGGGTGCAATATGAATCAATGTTGTCATATTCACTTAGGAGACTGCTTCGGTCTGATTTAAAAAATGAAGCAATTCGGTGCTTCGGGTCAGGAGAAGACTTAGGGTTTTTTTTTTATATTTTATAATTAATAAAAGCGTGTGGTTTCTATAAGGTTGCAACCTTAAACAATCCAATTACGGAGCACCTCCAAATTTTATCATATCATGTAATTTTGGTATAAAAAATATCTTAGGATTATCTAAAATTCTATTTTCATATCTAATTATAAATTTTAAACTCCAAAAATGGTTAAAATCAAATAGATCCAATTGAAAGCTTGTGATACGAAATGAGTTAAATTGTGTTGCTTATTGCTCAAGCAGAATCTGGATCAGCATTAGCCACTAGTTCATTATAAGGGACAGGGTCTTCAAGAACCTTACTTGAATCAGAATGAACATACTAGTTAGCAGTAGCAATTCCAGTGGTTGCTGGATAGTATGCTTGACACTGCGCATGAATATGATATTGTACTGGGTAAGGGAGAGGAGAAGCCATGGTTTCATGAGCAGGTGATGTGAGTAAAGGGGGAGCTGGCTCATCATGTGTGGAGGAGGAATGAGTTCATCATCTGAAGAGGTGCACAGTATGTAAAATTTGAAGAAGGTTCCAATAACAGGGGGCTTGTGTGAACTGGATCCATATATGAGGCACAAATTCCTTTTTTACTGTCCAATAGAAACAGGACTAGAGAGCATCTCACGGAAAACAATAGGAGTATTCACATTTTATATTTGAAATTTAATAATATGGAGTATTCTTATTAAGATTAAAATGCATTGATATTGCTATACAAAATGAAAAAAAATTAATGCCCTACTCACCTGCAAGAGTATGTAATTGGCACAGAAGGGGTTTGGAGTCACATTTGTCGCCTATGAGAGACCAGGTATTAATCGGTAGTCGATGAAGATAGAAACGAGTATGCTAACCAAAAGTAATCATTGCAATATAACCTCAAATGGTGACGAATATAATGCTCGGTCACCTGTTACACCCGACTTCACTGAATATAAGAATTATCCATGTTGTTCACACTGAATAATTGAAGGCTCTGACAGTGAGATGTCACCGTTTTCTACTGAGTTTCCAACAATATATCTCATCAAAAATTTCTTGTAAATACATTAGAAGAAAGACATGCAAAACTCTCATGAAGACCAAGAAACAAGAGAATCAAAGAGAAAATGTAGGGTTAACTGAAAATAATTTGAAAATCTAATAATTATCAAAAAAAAAAAAGGAACTTTTTATAAAAGCTGATATACCAGAGTTTTGCGCATTTACATCTTACGGATCCTATTCAAACGCATATTTTTAGAGACAAATAATCCAAGATTGTTGATACGCATTGCTCATCAAGTACCATGCCTTTACATGCTATTTGATGGAGCAACCTCATGAACTCAGAACTTCCCTATATCACCATTTACAGTAAAATGCTTCAATAGTAATTCATCTATTATAGCATCTGGTGAATCACCTTTTACAATCATGCTCGAGCTATCGCTCCGCTGCATCCATTAGTCCTGCCAGGAAAACATAAATATTACTACAGAATATGTCATCATATTAGGAAAGAGACTTATTTGGATCATATACTTAGCAATTCCTTTGCAACTAAATGCTTCCCAGATTTACACTCTCCATCAATCAGCATAGCAATAGTGATGACATTAGGTTTGCAAAAACCTTCATTCATCTGGTGAGCTATATAGGCCAAATATGCTGCCTCGTCCCTCGTTCTACCATCCTTGCAAAAAACCATCGATGAGTGCATCATAACTGACATTGTCTGGTTGACACCACTTTTCCCAGTTTCTTATTAAAACGACAATGCTTCTTCCACCTTATTTCTTTTGCATAGCACATTTGTAATATGACCACATCTGCATTGTGATTCATCTCCTCCAACAAAGACATTGCCTCCTCCATTCTCCCATCCTTGCAAAGACCATCAAGGAGTGTCCTATATGTGACAACATCTGGTTGACATCCTATTTTTCCCATTTCTTTGTGCAAAGCCAAGGCTTTTTCCATCTTATTTCTTTTGCGTAATGTATTCATAAGAGTGTTATATGTGAAAATATCTGGGGTCAAGCCATTGTGAAACATCTCCTCCAATAAAGACATTGCCTCCTCCATTCTCCCACCCTTGCAAAGACCATCAAGGAGTGTGTTATAAGTGACAAGATCTGGTTGACATCCTATCCTCCCCATTTCTTTGTGCAAAGCCAAAGCTTCTTCCACCTTATTTCGTTTGAATAATACATTCATAAAAGTGTTATATGTGACAACATCTGGGGTCATGCCATTGTGATATATCTCCTCTAACAAAGACATTGCCTCCTCTGCTCTGTCACCCTTGCAAAGGCCATCAATGAATATGCTGTATGTGACAACATCTGATTGAGAACCTCTCCTCTCCATTTCTTTGTGCAAAGCCAAGGCTTCTTCCATTTTATTCCTTTTGCAAAGTGCATTTATAAGAATGCTATATGTGACCACATTTGGGATCAAGCCATTGTGATACATCTCCTCCAACAAAGACATTGCCTCATCTGTTCTTCCACCTTTGCAAAGACCATCAAGGAGTGTGTTATATGTGACAACATTTGCTTGACATCCTATCCTCCCCATTTCTTTGTACAAAGCCAAGGCTTCTTCCACTTTCTTCCTTTTGTAAAGTGCATTCATAAGAATGCTATATGTGACCACATTTGGGCTCAAGCCATTGTGATATATGTCCTCCAACAAAGACATTGCCTCCTCTGTTCTCTCACCCTTGCAAAGGCCATCAAGGAGTGTGTTATATGTGACAGCATTTGGTTTACATCCTGTCTTCCCCATTTCTTTGTGCAAAGCCAGGGCTTCTTCCACCTTATTTCTTTTGCATAGCGCACTCATAAGAGTGTTAAATGTGAAGACATTGGGGTTTAGGCCATTGCAATACATCTTCTGTAACAAATGCATTGCTTCTTCTGTCTGTCCCTCTTTCCAAAGACCATTCATGAGAATGTTATAGGTCACGACGTCTGGTTGACACCCTCTCTTCCCCATTTCTTTAAGCATAGCCATAGCTTCTTCCACTTTTTGGGCTATACAGAGCCCATTGATCAGGGTGTTAAATGAAAAGACATCAGGCAAAAGCTTGTAATTCTCCATACCATAGAAGAGGTCTATCGCCCTCACGACTCGCCCCTAATTGCACAGTCCTTTCATCACCATAGTCAATAGGATAACAGAGAGAGGGTAACCAAGCTTCTGAATAAGACCGATAGCCCCAAGTGCCAAATGGGTCCTCTGGAATTGGCAAAACCACTTGACCAATGTGTGCAACATTTGAATATCAGGTGAAATTCCAGCTCCAACAATGGTTTTATACAGAGACAGAGCCTGGTCTGGTCTTTTGAAGGACCCCTACAAGATATTACAGGTGGAAAGAGAGGGTTTGATTGAGGATTTGAGCATACCTTTGAAGAGAAAGAAGGCCTCTTCCAACCCACCATCTGTTCTCATTCGGCAGCAACACTCGATTCGCCTCTCTATTTCTCTCCTTGGGCTCACCGTATCTGAATCGGTTCTTCTCTCAACAACAGAGGAAGAAGCAGTACAAAGCTTTTGAAGAGAGAGAATGCAGAAAGGTTGGAGGCGAGGAGTTGCAGAAAACAGTGGAAGTGACCATGGCTTGGCAAGCCCAGGCCCGTATAGAAATGATGAACAAATTCTCGAGGCTCTCATTTCATCTCACAGTATTAACCATTGGATAGTAAGGAATTCAAGAGAAAGAGGGGAGGTCACCAGAAAGAGAGAGCTTAGAGAGAGAAAGTGGGAAGGTTCACCAGAGAAAGAGAGAAACGATTCTCTCTAACGCGAGGAGCATGGGAAGAGGGGAGTCAGTAGTGGTGTTCAAACTTCAGACTTCAGAGTGAGAATCTGTGAACGGGTGTTCAGACTTCAGAGTGAGAATCTGTGAACCGGCTGAAGTGGCTTCTGGAAGTTGAGAACTTCTCAACTTTTCGTGATTGATAAAAATGAGAATTCCAAATCCAAAGTTTTCATCGTCTAAAAAAAAGTTCGGACTACCCAAAAGGTCGGAACCTAAAATAGGGAGCTCTAAGCTTCCTCCCCATGCGATAACGTAGAGCACCCCTCCCCTTCAATAAAACTCTAATGTCTGAAAACAACACCCCGCTTAGCACCCACCCCACTCGGCACTCCTCTCTGCGCCGCTGAGCACCCACCCCGTTGAGCGCCCCTCTTTTCGCACCTTCCCATCTCGTCGTTGAGCCAGCTCAGTACGCCATTATCTCAGGGAAATCTGTGATCCTTGCCATTGATTTCGATATATGCACTATTCTCTTTGTTATTAATTATTGTGTTTGTTCTTGAGCTCTTGAAATAAAGGGTTCTTATTATCGTTAATCATTGTGTTTGTTCTTGAGCTCTTGAAATAAAGGGTTCTTATTATCGATGTTTGTGTTTGTTTTTAAGCTCTTTTAAGCTTAGAGCTCTTATTCCGCATGATCTTAGGGTACTAAGTTTTTTTTATAGGGTTTTTCCTTTATGTTGACTCCTAAGTTGGGTCTTTTTGATTTTTTTTTTTCTCTCACTCTGTTATTTTTTCACTGTTTGAAAATAGGCAATGGATGTTACTTGCTTATGAAATGCCCTAATAAATGTTTAATGTTTGCTGGAACTTAGTGTTTCTATTTGATTATTTAGAGTCGTATTCTTTGATTATGGATCATTTGATTTTTATTCATTTCTCCAAATGTTGTTGTACTTTGGGCTTCTCTTTCCATAACTGTTGATTAATGGGTATAATATATAATTTGCTTAATGCCTAAAAATAACCATGCTCTCTCTCTCTCTCTTTTACATCACGCAAGCACGTGTGTATTGGTGAAATTGAAGTATTGTGAAATTGAAATTTTGGGTTGATTTTGAAATTTTATGCGAGTGCTTCTATAATGAATTCACTGATGTAGCTTCTGTGCATGGGATGTGAGTTCTCCTTGGTAAATTATGAATGTTTAATGTTATATGAATCTATCGATACGGAACCTCTAGTATGGCCTTTGTGAAACTGTGCATGCAAATGTGGTAAATTGATTGTACTTAAAGGGCTTTTATGAAAGGCTTTTTTATAGGTTTTTTAAAAAAAATTGGTAAAATCGATAAAAAAAAAAAAAAGTGTTTTTTATTTGAGCTCTGATATTTGAGTTGTTTTAAGCTTTTTTTTAGCTTTTTTTGAGCTTTTTTTGAGCTTTTTCTGAGTTATTTCTAAGCGAAATTTGATAAAAAAAAAAAGTTTAGGGCTTTTTCTGAGCTTTTTATGAAGTTTTTTTTATATTTGAGCTCCGATATTTGAGCTCTGATCAGAGTATAAATACATTATAAATTTCATTGAGCTCTGATCTTTGAGCTCTGCTCAGAGTAGGAATACATTACAGTTTAGGGCTTTTTTTGAGGTTTTTTTTTAAAAAAAATCGGTAAAATCAAGAAAAAAAAAAAAAAAAAAGGTCTTTTTTGTTTGAGCTCTGATATTTGAGCTTTTCTGAGCTTTTTATGAGGTTTTTCTGATCTTTGAGCTCTGATCAGAGTACGAATACATTATAAATTTCATTGAGCTCAGATTAAAGTGCGAATACATTACAGTTTAGGGCTTTTTCTGACGTTTTCCTTTTTTTAAAATTGGTAAAATCAGTAAAAAAAAAAAAAAATTATTTGGGCTCTGATATTTGAGTTTTCTTTTAGTTTTTTCTGAGCGAAAATTCGTAAAAAAAAGAATTTTTACGGCTTTTTATGAGGTTTTTCTGATCTTGGAGCTATGATATTTGAGCTCTGATCAGACTACGAATACATTATAAATTTCATTGAGCTCTGATCAGAGTACAAATACATTACAGTTTAGGGCTTCTTCTAAGGTTTTTATTTTTTTAAAATTGGTAAAATCGGTAAAAAAAAAAAAATAATTTATTTGAGCTCTGATATTTGAGTTTTTTTGTAAAGATTTTTCTTAGCTTTGTTTGAGCTTTTTCTCAGTAAAAATTGGTAAAAAAAAAAAAAAAATTAGGGCTTTTTATGAGGTTTTTCTGATCTTTGAGCTCTGATCAGAGTATAAATACATTATAAATTTCATTGAACTCTGATCAGAGTAAGAATACATTACAGTTTAGTGCTTTTTCTGAGGTTTTTTTTAAAAAAAATTGGTAAAAAAAAAGTATTTTTTATTTGAGCTTTGATATTTGAGCTTTTTCTGAACTTTTTATGAGGTTTTTTTGATCTCTGAGCTCTAATCAGAGTGCGAATATATTACAAATTTAATTGAGCTCCGATTAGAGTACGAATACATTACAGTTTAAGGCTTTTTCTGAGGTTTTTCTTTTTAAAAAAATTGGTAAAATCGGTAAAAAAAAAAAGAAAAAGAAGTATTTTTTATTTGAGCTCTGATATTTGAGCTTTTTTTAGTTTTTTTGAGCAAAAATTGATAAAAAAAAAAGTTTAGGGCTTTTTATGAGGTTTTCTTATCTGAGCTCTGATACTTGAGCTTTGATCAGAGTACGAATACATTATAAATTTCATTGAGCTCTGGTCTTTGAGCTCTGATCAGAGCACAAATACATTACAGTTTAGGGCTTTTTCTGAGGTTTTTATTTTATTTTTTTAAATTGGTAAAATCGGTAAAAAAAAAAAAAGTTTTTTTTTATTTGAGCTCTAATATTTGAGCTTTTTTCTTAGCGAAAATTAGTAAAAAAAATAGTTTAGGGCTTTTTCTAAGCTTTTTATGAGGTTTTTCTGATCTTTGAGCTCTGATCAGAGTACGAGTTCATTATAAATTTCATTGAGCTCTGATCTTTGAGCTCTGATTGGAGTACGAATACATTACAATTTAGGGTTTTTTTTGAGGTTTTTATTTTTTTAAATTAGTAAAATCAGTAAAAAAAAAGTTTTCTTTATTTGAGCTCTGATATTTGAGCTTTTTCTAAGCGAAAATTGGTAAAAAAAAAAAAAAAGTTTAGGGCTTTTTATGAGGTTTTTCTGATCTTTGAGATGATTAGAGTACGAATACATTATAAATTTTATTGAGCTCTGATCAGAGTACGAATACATTACATTTTAGGGCTTTTTTTGAGGTTTTTATTTTTTAATAATTGGTAAAATCGGTAAAAAAAAAAGTTTTTTTTTTATTTGAGCTCTGATAGTTGATCTTTTTCTGAGCTTTTTCTGAGTGAAAGTTGGTCAAAAAAAAAAAGTTTAGGGCTTTTTCTGAAGTTTTTCTGATCTTTGAGCTCTAATTAGAGTACAATTACATTATAAATTTCATTGAGCTCTTATTAGAGTAGGAATACATTATAGTTTAGTGTTATTTCTGAGGTTTTTCATTTTTTTAAATTGGTAAAATAGGTAAAAAAAAAAGTTTTTTTTATTTAAGCAATGATATTTGAGCCTTTTTTGAGTTTTTTCTTAGCTTTTTCTGAGCGAAAATTGGTAAGAAAAAAGTTTAGGGCTTTTTCTGGTCTTTGAGCTCTGATATTTGAGCTTTGATCAAAGTACGAATACATTATAAATTTTATTGAGCTCTGGTCTTTGAGCTCTTATCAGAGTATGAACATATTATAAATTTCATTGAGCTCTGATCAGAGTATGAATACATTAACTTCATTGAGCTTTGATCAGAGTACGAATACATTAAAAACTTTATTGAGCTCTGATCAACGTATGAATACATTAACTTCATTGAGCTCTAATCTTTGAGCTATGATCAGAGTATGAATACATTAAAAACATTGAAAATCTCTAGGGTTTTATTGGTTTGTTCGAGTCATTACGTGAAATTAAGCTTGTTTCTCAACTTATGTTGTAGTTCTGTTTTTTTTGTTTTTTGTTTTCCCTATTTTTGTGGTGGAATAGCTTTCCTTGTTGTGATATTAGTTCTTAGTTTCTTGTACTCATGTTTAATCTATGATTCTAGTGGTTTTACACTGATTCTTATTCATTATTGCATTATAATTTCTCAATTAATTTATGTCTCATATCATGATAATTGCTTTATATTATGTAACTGCAAATGATTTGTGTTTATAGCAAAATTTGTAAGTGGAATATAGTTCACAATTCCATGGAATAATTTATCTTTTTCTTCTGTTTTATAATGTGTTAAAATGAGTTTTAGATGGAACTGAAACTAAATACGGAAAAAACAAAGCTGCGAAACAAAAAGAAAAAAGATAAGAAGAAGAAGAATAACGGGATGGAACAACCTAATTTGTGACTACAGGTTTTAATTATGTACGTTTAATGGGCTGATTTCTTACTACTTGTAATGTACATGTGTGTTTGAATGGGCTGATTTACTAGTTATTGCATTTTTAATTATGTATGTTTAAACTATTACAGATTAT